ATCCAGTGCTGCTTGCAGCATCATAGAAGTGTTCCTAAAATGTAAATACATTCAAAAATAATGTGTTGTCAATCTGAAAATTTTTAGAACTTAAATGTGAACGCACACAATCCCAATGATGCACAGCATGAAAATTATGTAAACAAAGTGCAATAGTAGTGACTATACATAGCCTTTCTTGGAGTATGGGTCTTTCAGGGATGGGAACAATGTCACTACCCCTAGCGCGTACTGTTCTCTAACAGCTTTGGTGGGGAGGTGCCTGAAAAACGATTTTAAATTAACATGCTTAAGTAATGGCAAAATAGTAACTTGTATTTAAAAAAAAATAAAATGCACAATAGAACACACATACCCATGGCAATCAATCATGTGAGCCACTATTATATTGACCATTTTTCTTCTGGTAGCATCTGTCAGAGTTTGTGTTGTGTGATATTCCTGGAGAACCTCTTCACCACCTGAATTGGTTCCAAGTACACCTTCAATTAACTTGAGAAAAAAAAAGATGCAAAAAGTGAGGAATAGCTTTTCTACATATTAAGAATAATGAAGTAGAAAAAATACTATGAGAACTGAGTTTTGTCACAACCTTTTTAGCAGATGCTGCATCAACAGTACCCTCAACTCTTGTTTCTTCCTGGGACCCTCATCTAGAAGTATAGTTGATGTACTTGCATTTGAGCTGAAGCTTGAGTCAGAACAATCAGATGCAGAAGACAAGGAGTAATCAGAAAATTCTAAAAGGAAAAAACAACATTATTCTGTAAGGTGTAGAAAAACAAATCTGGCTGCAGATTTTTAACTAACAAGGCAACATCACACTGCAGACCTGACTCATTTAAATTAACTGATCTCAATGTTCAAACAGCTGATTGGTCAAATTGTGTGCTCCTGATTATTTGGAACAACCAGCAGCCACACAGCCCTTCCCCATGTCTGGTGTTGAGCTTGCCCCTTTAAATTTCTCACCATCACTTGAGAAAACTGTTAGGACCACAGTGCCTTGGCTGATAAGATCACTGAAAATCACTTCATCAACTTCTGTCCCTGTTGCATCTTTGTACACTACTTTTGCATCAGGTGGCAGGCAAAATCTCTCGATGACTGGAAAAGATAAGATATATCTGAGTGCACCTTTTAAGTAAACTGTTCTTGCCTCACATTCACTAAAGTGATACACCACTGTATGATTCAAGAGACTTGGCGAAACGCCCTACAAAAATTCTGTCCCCCAACTAAAATTAGGTAAGATATAAACAAACCTTTTTCATGAAACTGCATAAACTCAAAACGCCCATCAACCTCTTCCAACTTCACATACTTCTGCTGTTGGCAGTATCGAACCTGGACCAGCATTTTACTGGGATAAAATAATAACAAAGATGGCATAGTATTTGACATTTAGAGCAATTCAAGCACAAATGATTAAAACACTGACATATACCGTACATGGTGATTAATACTGACCATGCGTTTGAATTTCACTGCAATAACATTTAATGTTATCAAATAAACCTGTGTCTGTCCATGCAGGAGTCCAATTGATACATAACACAATACAAAATACACGTTAATCTATGGTGTAGTTTACACCAGACACGGAGTGCTACGAAGCGATTGTTTCGGTATCTGGTCTATTTTTTGCGTGGCCCACGCATGTTCCGCAGGAAGTTACACCAAGACACACAAGACAATCCAGGCAATTTTGAAGATAAAAGCTATTCTCCAAAATAAAATACTGCGATTGACAAATGCGATCAGATTTGTGTATGAAAAGAGACAATAGAGATGAAAATGAACACATAGCAAAGGAGGGGACAGCCTAACTGACTATGTTTGGGGCGGGTGTCTCAAAGGGAGAAGAGAGTGAGACAGAGAGAGAGACAGATTAGAGACAAGTCAGCGATGAACGATGTCAAAGTAAAAGCAGGAGTGACTAAAACAAGCTCTCTTCAATTATTTTGGGATGTTATTTACTTATCAATTGTGAAAAAATTACTCTGAATAAACAGAGAAGCAAAAACGCTCATGAACTGGCGTGGAGAAAGACGTGTCTGTGTGAACAGGGGAAAAGCTGAACTTGGCGCGGCGCTTCCACGTGCAGTGTCTACCGTCACTTACGAGTAAAAAGACTGCAACATTAGCATTGGAGGCTAAATAGAATTTTCGACACATCTCCTCCTCTATTAAAGCTCGTTTTCAGCAACCGAACACCAAGAAACATCAAGAAACCTCACTGCGCCGATAGAATACTGTGAATTTTATATAAGTTTGAATAACTTACCGTTTGTGTAAAATACTCCAAGCAGCACGGCAGGCATCCACCACGGTGTAACCAGCAGAAGCACATGGAAAATCGGCCCGGCAGAGCAAACTATTAATTGATCCACGGGTTTACCTGGGCAGAAGCCCAGGGGCCTACCAAGTTAAATAACTCTCTTCAGAGTTCATTTGCTTGGACTTGAATAACACTGTTTAATAACTCCAACACTGAACACTATTTGAATCAGAATGTGTTAATATGACACTTTGAGAGTGGAAATCAACTCTAACATCTTTAACCCTGAAATTTTAACACTCCAGTTTTTGCTGTGTACAAGAAGCGCCTAGTTTAAATCCTTGTGCCGATACATTTGTTCCAACATCAAGAGATTACTCTGGTATAAATTCTGCATCTGAATCACAAGTAATCGTACCTAGACAAAGTCAAACCCAACATCAGGTTGATGATTCAGCTCAAGTGACGCAGCAAACACAGCCTCAGTCTCCTACTTTGACTGGGAACTGCACGAAGGAGATTGTAAATATTATGCAAAAACAAAATGACATCACTACTTTGCTTGTAAAACAAAACTTATCTTCTGTCCTCCCCGCCAGAAACATCCCTGTGTTTGATGGAGACCCTTTACAGTACAGATCATTTATGAATGCCTTTGAAAATGGAGTGGAAGCTAAAACTGATAACTGGAGCGACTGTTTGCATTTTTTAGAGCAGTTCACTAGGGGGCAGCCTAGGGATTTGGTGCATAGTTGTCAGCACTTACCACCTGAGCAGGGCTATTCCACAGCCAAAGATCTTCTTGAAGAACATTTTGGGAACGAAAATAAAATTGCCTCTGCATATATGGAGAGGATTGTGAGTTGGGTACCTATTAAAAGTGAGGATGTGAAAGGTCTACAGTCATTCTCTCTTTTTCTTCAAGGATGTTCGAATCTAACACAGCAAGTTGTTTATATGAAGGAGTTGGATTTGCCCTCAAATATGAGAATGGTTGTTATGAAACTTCCATACAAATTGAGGGAAAAATGGAGAGTTGTTGCCTATGAACTGCAGGAACAAAATGGTTACAGAGCAGTATTCACTGATCTGGTTACCTTTATAATAAAACAGGTAAAAGTAGCATCAGATCCAGTGTTTGGCAACATACAAGACTCACAATCTGGAAGCAGCTTTAAAGCTTCAAGTTCTACCAAGCAAAGAAAAAAGGGAAGTAGTTTTGCCACTAATGTCAGTACAGTGCCAGGAATCAAAACTCAATCAACTGGAAGCAGAACAACTTCCGCCGTTCTGCATAGTTGTTTGTTTTGTTCACACAGCAACCATTTACTAGAGAATTGTAAGCAGTTTAAAGCTAAAACGCATCAGGATAAGTTGACTTTTATCAAGGAAAGGGGAATTTGTTTTGGTTGTTTAAAAGTTGGTCACACAAGCAAAGACTGTAGGAGTTGTTTGGATTGCGACGTGTGTCACCAAAGGCACCCAGGGGTTCTTCATATAGAGCGAAAGGATCCAGGTGCGTCTTCGGAACAAACTCAACAGAGGACAAACTCTAATGTCAACTTTTCAACTGCAACCACTCAGACGTGGGTATATTGGGGCTGGTCATGAAGTTGATGCAATTTTTTCTATAGTTCCAGTTCAAGTTAAGAGCCAAAAGAGTAATAAAATTGTGCAAACCTATGCGTTTTTGGATCCTGGAAGTTCAGGTACATTCTGTACAGAAACTTTGGCAAAAAGGCTGAATGTAAAAGGTAAAAAGACCAATATCTTTTTGAGAACAATGAGTCAAGATAAGATTGTTAGTACACAAGTTCTGTCTGGTTTGGAAGTGTCTGGTTTGGAAGCAAATGATTTCATGCCATTGCCAGATGTTTTGACTCAAAAGACTATGCCAGTTTCTACAGTTAATATTCCCCAGCAAAGCGACATCGATCAGTGGCCTCATCTTAAACCTGTTAAACTGTACAACGTTAATGCAGATGTGGAGCTACTGATAGGCACTGATGCTTCCAATGTTTTGGAGCCATGGAAGGTGATAAACAGTGTGGGAGGTGGACCTTATGCTGTAAAAACAAAAGTTGGCTGGGTCATAAATGGTCCCCTGCGCACTGGAAGTAACAGTGGAAATAAAACCAACTGCACTGCTGTAACAGCCAATAGGATTTCTGTTGAGCGTCTTGAAGACATGTTGATTAAACAGTACAATCATGATTTTAATGAAAGATCATCAGAGGAGCAGACTGAAATGTCTAGAGAGGATCTGTGTTTCATGGATATTGTTAGTAGTTCAATAAAGCTTATTGGAAATCATTATCACATTGATTTGCCTTTCAGGAGAGAAGGTTCCAGTTTGCCAAATAACCTCTGTGTCGCGGAGCAGCGTCTCCAGAGTCTCAGACGGAGATTTGAAAAGGATACTCATTATAAGGATGAATACACTAAATGTGTAAACAACATGCTTGAACGAGGATATGCCGAGTTTGTGCCTGTAGATGAGTTGCACAAAGATGATGGAAAGGTGTGGTACATCCCTCATCATGGAGTGTATCATCCCACAAAGGGCAAATTAAGAGTTGTATTTGACTGTGGAACAACTTATAAAGGAGCATCATTGAACAGCCAGCTTCTACAGGGACCTGATCTCACAAACTCGCTGGTTGGGGTTCTGATCAGATTTAGACAAGAGCCTGTTGCATTAATGGCGGACATTGATTCCATGTTTCACCAAGTTCACGTCTCAGAAAAACATGTCAACTTTCTCCGTTTCCTGTGGTGGCAACATGGCAACACTTCAAGGTCTGCACAGGAATGCAGGATGAAAGTGCATTTGTTTGGAGCTGTATCTTCGCCAAGTTGTGCAAATTATGCTCTACAGAGAACTGCAGATGATAATGCACAACAGTTTCCAGCTGAAGTGGTTGATACAGTCAAAAGAAACTTTTATGTGGATGATTGTTTGAAATCTGTTGCTTCAGAAGAGGAGGCAGTGCACATGGTGAAGAGGCTGACAGATATCTGCGCTAAAGGAGAATTTAAGCTTTCAAAATGGATCAGCAACAGTCGCACAGTGCTCATGTCAATCCCAGAGGAAAGAAGAGCAAAGGAAATTAAGGATCTGGATTTGGACACAGATCAACTTCCAGTTGAGAGAGCACTGGGTTTACAGTGGTGCATAGCAACAGACAAGTTCCAGTTCAGAACCTCCCTGCAGGACCGTCCGACAACCAGAAGGGGAATTTTGTCTGTGGTCAGCTCACTGTATGATCCTTTGGGAATCTTGTCTCCCTTCAGTATGCCAGCTAAACTGTTGCTACAAGAGCTTTGCCGACAAAATTTGAAGTGGGATGAAGTTATTCCCCACTCTCTTTCCCAGCGGTGGCGTGATTGGCTGGAGGATCTCCAGCTGATTTCAAAGTTTAAAGTGGAACGTTGCATTAAACCAAATTGCTTTGGAAGACCAGATAGGGCACAACTTCATCATTTTTCTGATGCAAGTCAAGATGGGTATGGAACGGTGTCATATTTAAAGTTGGAAAAGAATAACGTCACGCATGTTGCTTTTATCCTGGGAAAGGCTAGAGTTGCTCCTCTCAAGCAAACTACAATTCCCAGGTTGGAATTGACGGCTGCAGTTCTTGCAGTTCGGGTGGACAGGCTTCTGCAAAAGGAGCTGCAAGTCAGGTTGGAAAAATCAGTTTTTTGGACTGACAGCACAACAGTACTGAAATACATCTCCAATGAAACCAGAAGATTCAATACTTTTGTTGCAAACAGAATTGCTGTTATTCGGGAAGCAACAGATGTGAATCAGTGGAGATACGTTTCTTCTAAGGAGAATCCTGCAGATGACGCATCCAGAGGTATGAGAGCTGGGGATCTCCTCAAATGTAGGAGATGGATAAAAGGGCCAGAATTTCTCTATGAGTCAGAAAAGGAATGGCCTAAACTGGATGTGGAGTACAGTGTAATTTCTGCAGATGACCCAGAGGTCAAAAGGGACCTGACAATGAATGCCATTGTGAGAGAATTACAAAATCCTACCAGCTATTTTATCCTCTACTTCTCGTCTTGGGCAAAACTTAAAATCTCTGTAGCCTGGCTTTTAAAGATGAAAGAGGTCTTGGTGTTGTTGGCACAGAAGAGGAAAGAGTTGCTTGCTGCAGGTTTGAATAAGAATGATCCGGAAGGTCAGAAAGAAGTGGAGATAAGAATGGAAAGATTTAAGACCACTTTGAAGAAAGGAAATCTCACTCCAGAAGACTTGGCAAAGGCAGAACAGGCTATTCTTCAATATGCACAACAACAGAAATTTACGACTGAAATGGCTTTAATCCGCAATGGCCTCAAAGGAGTCTCTAAGGGAAATTGTCTCTACAAACTTGATCCAGTGTTGGATGCAGGAATCCTCAGAGTGGGTGGCCGATTGAATAAAGCAGCCATGCCTATGGAATTAAAGCATCCTGTAATTTTGACAAAAGATATGCATGTGTCAACACTGATTTTACGCCATATCCATCAAAGGTTGGGACATGCAGGAAGAGCACACATGCTGTCAAAACTAAGACAAAATTACTGGATACTAAATGCAAATTCTGCTGCCAGGAAAATCATCTCTCGTTGTGTCACGTGTAGACGCAACAGAGGAAAGTTTGTTGAACAAAAGATGGCGGATCTGCCTGAAGAGAGAGTCCTGCCAGACATAGCCCCATTCACAAATGTTGGAGTGGACTATTTTGGACCTATAAGTGTTAAAAGAGGACGAAGTCTCCTTAAAAGGTATGGAGTTCTTTTTACTTGTTTCACCAGTCGTGCAGTACATCTGGAGATTGCATGTACACTTGATACAGACTCTTGTATAAATGCTGTGAGGAGGTTCATCTGTAGACGAGGCCCAGTTTCGACCATCAGATCTGATAATGCTACAAATTTTGTTGGGGCGAATCGAGAGTTGAAAGAAAGTTTGACTGAGCTGGACCATGCCAAAATTCAAAAGGCTTTTGTTCAGGATGGCATGAAATGGAACTTCAACATCCCAGCAGCTTCTCACCAAGGCGGTGTGTGGGAACGTCTCATTCGTTCAATAAAGAATATTTTAGCCTCAGTTC